ATTCACCGGATGTATAGGGACCATCCTAGGGACAAATGTTGACGGGGTCAACACCGGAGGTGGCATAATTGGTGGCGTCATGCCGGGATAGGCAAATGGCATGAAGCCCCCTGCCTGTTGCATCATAGCCATCACCTGTTGATAGCCCTGTAGAGCCTGAGCATTTGCCGGGTCAGCAGCAAACTGAGCCCAAGCTGACGGGTACGGTGTGAATGCTCCACCAGGCGTTGTTATCGAGCCTGGGAACATTGTTGTCGTCGGCGTAGGAGTAGGGGTTGACATGATTGGGATCATGCCAATCGATCCTACAGTGGTGATCGGAGCAAAGGTCGTCCCCATGCTCGACATCATCAATGGGATGGCAGGAGTGCTTTCACTCGCAGCCTGACTTGACACAGCGTTGTAGTTGCTCGAAGACATGATTGTGGATATTTAGTGGGGGTAAAGTTTTGACCTGGTCGAAAAAACTTTAAAATTCTTGTCCCACGGATGGCGCCAAAAATGATGGTGTAAATATAGCGGGGTGGGTTAACCGGGTTTGAACTGGACACACTCGACTCGTAATATAAAACACACAACAAGAACACAAAGTATAACCTAGACCGGGTAAATCTCCTCAGTCCGAATTATATTTCTTACTCTATCTCAAGAGTGAACTTTAGTGAGAGAAAAATTGGATCCCCTCCTCTATCCAATATCATCATATTTATAGAGGAGGACTTGTGACCTTCCCCTGTTCATCCATGGACAAAATAGGAAGCTCGTGGGAAGGTCACTGTAGATAATGGAAGCACTGTACAATCATGGACTTGCTATTAATACAACCAAAAAGCACTGTTCAATCAAAGACTAAAATGGATATTCTCAATCCAATCAACCCTGCAAAATGACAAACATCCCTTTCACTGTGCGCCTCGTGATGGATGAGCGGCGGGGTGTCCCCTTGGCCTCTGACGTGGTTCATCATGCCTAAGAGACTGGACCAATGTTAGCCAAGTAAAGTGATATGACCGGTCACCTTTTTCTCAAAGGTTGACCGGTCATTTCCAGAGCACAACCCGTCTCTTTGGTCTTCTTGAATTCTTCACAACATTAGGTGATATTTTGGCTATCGCCCAAAATGTGACCGGTCACTTTTTTAGTGAAAGTGACCGGTCAACTTTTGACCCGTCCCAATCGAAGAGTTGACCTCATTTGGTGATTGATAAAAGTGACCGGTCATATTTTGACCTGTCCCTTTTGGTTATCCGGGTCGGGTATAAAGATATACACATCAACATCATATTTTTTCTCTAATAACCAAACTATCACATCTTACTTTTACCCATCACATTAGGGGCAAAATTAGAAAGTCAACCAAAATTACACTTTCCTTTTTTTTGTCCAAAGTCAAAAGTGGAAGAGTTTAAAGGAACGGTAGAAATTTTTTAGGACGTAGCCCGACCTTGCCTGATTTACGGCTTATCATTTTTAGTCCAAGCTCAGCCTATAGAAAAATGAACGTACGGGCTTCGGGCAGTCCCGGTCGCTAAATTATACTACCTCTGTCCAAAAATTTCTTTCTCATCTTGACTTGGTACGAAGATTTAAAAAATTGAAAAGTGTAAAGACTTTTTATTTTTGCCTTTGATGTGATGGAATAAAGTGAATAGTCTAGATAAAAAGTAGGAGTATAATGGAACATTTATTAAAAAATTTACCAAGGAAAAGAAATTTTTGGATAGCCCAAAATGAAAAATATGAAAGAAATTAATGGTATTTTTTTCAATTTTGTGATTTGAAGCATACTTTCAACAATCCATAAAGTTTTCATACTCCGTATTTAATTGTCCGAATCATACCTTTCAACATTTAATTGTCTGATGCATACTTTTCAATAACTTATACTCTCTCAATTTGAGAGTATTTGTCTAATTTTTATATTTTGTAGTCAATCAAAATTAACTTTTGATATATAGTTAAATAAAAACTACATAGTGTATCAATTAAATAAAAAAATATTTTAAAAATATTTCACAAGATAAATTTAATAAAATTAGTTATGTATGAATATTTAATACTCCGTCCGTCCCCCTGTATTTGTCCACTTTCATTTTTACACACCATCCAATGCACTTCTTTAATCCATTTTATTTGTAATTTGTATATTAAAAAATTATATATTAATAATCTATATGTTAAGACAAATCAAACAAGATCACACATGACTATATTTAGGCTTACACATTGAGAGAATTTGATGAGTCAAAGTGTTTAGATTAACAGTTCCAAAAATGAAATGTGGACAAATACAGGGGGACGGAGGGAGTATATATTTAAATTTACCAATTTTGAATATAAAAGAACAAGAGAAGTGCTAGAGTCACAAACACTTTGATCACAAAATACACAACCTTGCCATTTGTGTATTTTAATGCTTACTTTTTAATTATTTAACATTATTTAATTCACTTAGTGAGGTACACAAATAGCAATGTTGTGTATTTTGTGATTCAAAAATTTGTGACTTTAGCATTTCTCAAAAAACAAACCGGATAAACACTTTAACACGGAGGTAATAATTTTTTAGACTATATAGGGAGTATTTTTTAACACAAAGTTAAGAACGGAGTACAAAAAAATTGCAACTATTAAAACACATTAAGAAAGATTTGAAGCATACTAGAAAGTGAGACACAAATACATGGCCACCCGAAGAAACTGAAAATAAGTCAAATGCAATTGCAATTTGTGGAGTTGCGCACTTGGCAAGGTAAATGGTGTACAATGAGAAATATTCAAGTTGCAATTCTTGGCAACTATGCTGAGAAGCAATTATGATAGGCATAAGGTTTTTGCAAAAGGTACTAGAAGCAGTCTTCACTATTTACCACTCATCTGTGATTAAATCTCAATTTACCTCCTTTCAAGTAAACGTTTGTGATTTTTGAGGTTCAAAAATCATAATCCATATTCGGCCTTTATCGCCTTCAGAGCCCTATGACAATAAAACTAAAGCCGAAACTTGTACTCCGTACCTTTTTGGGTGGGTCTATAGGTCCATTATTGAGTCTAATTGCTAATGAAGTTATCACTAAGGTTGTTGATGAAAAAAATGTTGACGGTGTGCAGGTAAAGATTAAAAGTTTGTACTCTGTCTAGACTATGACTGTCTTTAACCAACAAATTATTTTTGAAGCAACTTATCTTCTCTCTGTCTTCATATGCAAGAAGGTACATCCCTTCTTATTAGATTTGTGTTACATTAATGTCAAAGTAGATGATTTTATATGACAAATAGTATAGAGTTAAAAAATAAGAATTTTTTTTATCAAATTGCTAACGAAAATAGATTAAAAAAAAATAATTAAAGTTTGACCGTGTGAACAGTAAACATGCACTATAAATTGGGATGGATGAAGTATTTACAAGAAGATCTGCTCTTTGTACAAGAGAAGTCCGCCATAATAAGACAATTCAGCTTGTATCGAAAATCAGTCATCAAGGTTATTTGTTACCGGGAGTAATATACAAAGAAAATAGAGAGCTCGTGATTTCTTTTTCTTGTTCTATTTGGTTTATGTCTCGATCATCTAATTAACGCACTCTTTAGCTACATAGGCCTATTTTCACACAAAGAGTTTGTTTTCGGAATTGGAATCATGTGCCTCCTTATTTCATTTCTTTGCCTTCATAAATCTTTGTTGGTTTTCAAAAAAAAAAAAAGAATTATTTGGAATACTTTTTTGTTACAGATTGAGAATTGATGCTTTTGCATTAGTCTTTTATTATATTGTTATAAATAATGTTTACATTTTCTGACATAATTTTAATGTGTGTCACTTATAATTTTTTTTAAAAAAACATATTAAAGGGCTGTTACAATTTTCAATGCAAAGTATATACATATATATATGTATCCCAATTTGTACCAATACTTGCCTCATCCCGAACTAATATATCAGAAATACTACGGCATAAAATCTCATATCAAATTGAAACATTCGGTATGGTATCCATACGATGATACGAACTAAATCTCGTCTTATACTGTAGCATGCTCACCCCTATTGTCACGCGACACACTCCCCATAAAAGTTTTGTATACAACAAAGCGGTAAATAGTCCCGTGCCTTACCAAGTGCGATTAGGGCACAACCCATAAAACCACCCCCTCTATTGAGAAAACAAACCACCCCACTCTATGGAGGGGGAAAGAGATCAAAAGTATTCCATGACAATATATGGAGCACAAATCTTTCTCTTTCCTCTCTCACATCCCGCTACCCAAAGCAAACCCAATGTTTAAGATAATACACAATCTTTTGCTAATAAATAAGCTTGCAAAATGGTGTCCATTAGGGTAATATTATCTGCAGAATAGAAATAAACAAGCCTTCTCTACAGAACTACTGCTACTCATCCCACATTGACGGTCCACCTAATCCAACTTCATCAACCCCTGCTGATAACAATTGCAGGGAAGTGGGTCCCACGGTGTGTTTTTTATTCTTCTTTTTCTCTTTAGTGATAGTAACTATTTCTGCAGATACATTAACACTTTTAGCAGCTACGGGATTGCCATTATTGAGGGAATTACCTGATGTGTCATCAATAAGAAGATTCACAAAAGGAGTTTCTCCATCATCAAATGCAGGTTCTTTGTGCTCTGATGTCTCCCGAATGCCAAACGCAGCCTTAGTATCATTATTGGCATTCTTTCTGTTCTCCAGCTGATGCATCACATGACCAGAAGTTTTCTCGGTATTCTCTTTCCTTTTCTTGTTTTTCTTCTTTGATTCCTTTATCGCGTCAGATGCTTCCTCCCGCATTTCGCTTCTCTTCTGCTTTTTAGGCTTCAATTCTTTTGCTTCGCAATTCCCAACATTTTCAGGAAGGAACCCTTCATTTTCACTTGGAAGATTATGTTTTCTGGATTTTTTTCTTGGAATATCTACTGGTACCACATTCTGAACTATGCCCACATCATGAGAGGTGTCGGGTCTTCCCAGTTCTCCCTTCAAAACTTTGTTGATGGGTTTAGCATTAAAAATCGACACATTCGGCAATAGTTTCTGAATCTGCTAAAACCACATTTTATGAGTTCATACAAGCACATTTGACATTCAGATAACAGATTACAAGAAATTTGCAACTAAAACTCACCTTTTTTGCCAAGCCCTCCTTTTCAGCAATGGGGTTCCCACACAGATTTAAATTTTTCAGACTAAGTAGTGAAGAGAGAACCTGTGATGAAATGTGGACAGAATAATGAGGAACCTGCTGAATTTGATATCAATAACATACACCCTCCTTCCCAAAACAAGAGTCGTGTGCTTTTTGTTTCTGGTCAACTCACATGTTATCAATGATCACTTATAGCCCTAAAATATATTTCCAAGATTTTATGGACCGTTGACTAAAACTGTTTGCTTCTAGGAATTACAGATATTTAACGTTAAAATTCAAGTTGACATTTAAGACCAGACTTTATTTGGGATAAATATACTATTGAAAAATTACCCTTTTTGGGGTTTTTTTGGTGGGGACTAGAAGAAACATCTGCATTCTACAGTCTACAATGAAATGCCTACCTCGAGATCAGACCACCTCAGGATCACATTGTTTCCCAAATCTAAGTTTTGCAATTTGTTATTACAAGCCAACTCACTTGGAAGTGTCTGAAAATTGAAAGTAAGAAGTTATTGTTGGGATGACGAATAAGATGACTCGATGGTAATGCACACTTGATGAGTTGATGTTAGCACAAACCGTAATCTGATTATGAGAAAGTCGCAGTTCTTTTAACTCTGTGCATGATTTGAGTGAAGATCCAATAAGTTGCAGCTGGCAGTTAGAAAGAGACAACTGCAATGACAGCTTTACCATTAGAAATAGATGCATAGATTTGGCACTCTACTTTAAAGCTCAGTTTGAATGGAGGTTTATGGAGGAGAGGGATTTAGACGATTAAACCTTTATTTTGATATATATACATATATATATATACACACACACACATACATACACGCACACGCACCCAGATATATATATACACACACACACACACAAATACCCTATGAGGTTTTATTTGAAAAATGAAGGGATAAGAAAGTAGGTAATCACATAAAACTACGGTAACAAAAATTCCTTCCCCTTCAAAATCCTCCATCCAAACAGACCCTAAATGATCAAAAAACTTGGAAATTCCTTAATCCTTACTTTTGAGATTGAATTTCTTTTGGCTAGAGACAGAGCAATTTCTCGTATTGGATTCCTAGAAAGAACTGCAGAATAATGCCACAAGGTAAGCTAAAACCATTTGGACTTTTTTTATGCATTAATGGTTTTGTATGAAATCCTAAAACCATTGGAAGTTTTGACATATCAATGGTAAGCTAAAATTTTATCAGGCTTGAGAATAAAAAATGAACTGGATTACAGAAGAATCAGGAAGTCACACCTAGAGTATTCAATTCTATCATGTGATCAAGTTTACAAATAGAACTAATCTCATTATCTGCCACATAGTAAAATAGAAAAGGAAGAGGTTAGTTGATCCAGGGCAAACAATGATCTCAATGCAAACAGAAGTTGAGGATTAAACGCTTACCATTCAAAATCAGTGCACGCAAACTCACAAGAGAATGAAGCCCATCCATTGAGTTGAGCTTGTTTTTTCCGGCATTTAATACCTGAAAAAACGTAAATAAAAACATAGTTCTGAAAGGCGAGAGGCATGTGTAGTTGCGCTAGGGGGGTAAATGAATTGCATTTAAGAAGCCAGCCCTTTCCTCAAAAAATCGCCAGCCCATTTTTTCAAATGCCCATAGCCGAACTATGGTTAGGCGAGAAAAGTGAGCGACTGAGGCGAGAAAAGCGGACAGCGCCTCACCTGAACCTCTACAGGTGGTAGAAGGTCGCCCGAACGCCTGAGGCGCCTTGGGCGAGGGAGGCAATCGCCTTTCTAAACTATGAATAAAAAGAAACAAAGTAGTACTTTTTGTTTAAACGTTTAAAGCAAATCTGAACATTACAAAATTTACAAGCAGATTTTCTAGCAAACAAATAATTATGCAGGAAAGGACAGGAAAAAATATGTCAAAGAATTCAATTTATCATCCTTGTGTGGTTAATTGTTAAGAAACGAACCATTAGACTCCTAATCAAGAATCCGGATTCTACATAAGCCTTGTCAAACACAAGATGCATGTGGAGCTAGAATTCTATGATCCTCAAATTTCATGCATAAACAAACACTCCAGATTTTGTTTAAAGAGTTTTGGAGGGTAGTCCAATAAAGAAAGAACATTTCATGGGCAGCCACAGCACTGGAACCTGTGTTTTTTTAAGAAGGAATAGATTAAACTAGTTGAGATTATGCTCATTCCCTACACATATAAAATCCATAGTTATACACTAAAGCGTCCTTTGAGAACAACATTTTTAATGAGCTGTAAAGTTTTGGATAAATTTTTAACAATGCAAATCAGTGTTTAAAAAGATAAAGTCAAAAGCTACCATTAGATAAATTTTCACAAATGCTAAAATTAAACACTAACGCTAATGCCAAACAAAGGCTCAAAACACAAATATGAGACCCCAATGGAGAGTGTACCGCACGATCAGTTTCAAGCCTAAGAAACCAAATCTCCGAACGTCAACGGGAAGAATAACAAAAATATATATACATTCCATATTAAGAAAGTGTTGATCTAAATTCTAACCTAAAAACAGATTCATCCAAACTAGAAGAAAAAGCACAAGAGAACAAATTCGTCCATATGGGACACTCACAGTGAGTTTAACCAGGCCTTCAATCCCTTCCAAACTCGGAAGCTTGTTGTTCGCTACTGATAACCACTTCAGGTTCACACATGACCTCAATCCCTAAAGTTATTTCCCAATACATAAATCCAATCCACATATACGGAAGCACCAAATCGAACACCAGAAGAAGATCAAGCCACAATTACCCCAAGGGAAGTCAGACTGTTGAAGCTGAGGTCGAGCCTTTGAATGTTCTTGAACTCGCCCAAACACGATACCTGTTTTTAAGGAAAACCAAAATCAAGACACTTTTTTTTCCATATATGATGTGAAGTTGAAACCGGGGGAAATCGGATGTTCGGAGGAAAGTTACGTCGGATAGAGCCTTGTAAGTGATGGCTACAGAGGTGACGGAGTTGGGATCGCCGCCGGTTTTGGCCAGCTGCACCACCTGCTGCGAGCTTAATACAACCATCGTTTTCGCCGTTCGGTGCCGCCGGATTGGGTTTGGCCGTGGGGTTTTGTGTAAAAACCCTGGCAAATAACAATATAGCTACGGCCAATCTTTGGTTTGAAAATAAAAAGCAGGCCTCATCACCTCATTATATTGAGTGATATAATTTTTTAAGTATTTTATTTATCAAGTACTCAAATATTTTATTTATTTTTTCATGAATGTAATTTTTTTATTTAATGAATGTAATTTTTCATTATGAATGTAATTTTTTTATTTAATGAATGTAATTTTTTTATAATGAATGTAATTTTTTTTATTTAATGAATGTAATTTTTCATTATGAATTTAATTTTTTTATTTAATGAATGTAATTTTTTATAATGAATGTAATTTTTTAATGAACTATTCTCGTTTCAATTCTTCTAAATACGGAGTAATTAAATATTTAAATTTCATTAATTTAATTTTAGAAGATGTGTATTTAAAATGTAAAAAATGAAGATTTGAAGCCCCGGGGCTTCAAACCCATTTCCACTGAAACTGTGAGGTAAGTTAAAGCTGACGTACCAAAGAGAGAAAGTTTGAAACTTTGGGGCTTCACGAGTATTTCCAGTGCCCTTATGGTTACCGGCTTCCTTCTAGCTTAGTTGGGCAAAAGGATTATATTCTCTTTTTTGTGTATGTCTCGAGAAATATATGTTCGGTTTGTAGTCAGGTATTTTTTTAATATTAGAATTTATATGAAATCTTAGATTTCAATTCTAATATTTAAAATTTCAAATATTATTTGAAAGTCATAGAGTTTTAATTATAAAATTTTATTTTTCAAATTGACAAAAGCGATAATAGAACTATGTTGATATGTATGAAATTGATGTTGTACAAGCAGAGATCACTCATTAATTAAAAGTTATAAATTAAAGAATAATTATTAGAGTTGAATTTGTAAATTACACCGGAAGAGGTGTGGATTTTTAGTTGGGTAAATTTTGAATTAGAAGAATTCGATCAAAATTCAAACCCAAATTCTTTAATTCCCAAACAAGTAACGTGAATTAAAATCCAGATTTGATATTCAAATTCATGTTCCCAAACACACTATTAAAGAATTTGAAAAAAAATAATTTTTTCTCATTTTTTAAACCATGAGGAATTTTATTTTATCTCTTTGAATATATTTTGTAACGCCCCAAAACATACCCTAAAATTATTAATGAATAATTCAATTAATCAAATTTGTTTTGATTAAAATAAATTATTGTTGAGCTTTGGGCCGATATGAAATATGTTTTAATTTCCAATATCAAAATCTGGATAAGTCTCATACAGATAAATCCAATATGTTGACTAATTGTATGATATTGATTGGGAACCATAGTACAAACTCAAATCAAGAGTAAATGAAAAATTTGTTTATAATGTAAACATTTAAATGATTTGTTAAAATAAATCATGAGAATAATTGATATGAATTAAATAAGAGAACCTTTTGTGAGAAAAGTCAATTAAACCAATTTTTACTCTGTCAAAGTCAACCACCCAAAAATATGATGTCGGAAAAAGTGTTACAAATTAATATAAAAATTATATTTATGGATAAAGTTTAACTGTCTGACCGCAACGATGCAAACGGAATTCAATTCGGAGAAAGTTGGATCAAAAAGTGTACCCTGACTGGAACCAAATTGGTCCCAATCAGGGAAGGGCATGTAGATCAATTAGAATTGCCGTCCTGCGCACTAAGGAATTTCTACGTAGAAATGAGTCAGCTACCAATGTCTTCTTCCCCTTCTCTTCTTCTATATAAGGATACTCCATCCTTATCAATTTTGCACCAATGTTCTGAAAAATTATATCATTGTGTTCATAAGAGTGAACGGAGCAGTCTGGTGTTGTTGGTTGCGGCCGAAGTCGCCGGAGTGGGGAGTAATCATCGCCGGAAGTTTCGCCGGAAAATTACCAAAACCTCCGTTAAGCTTCGAGGTAAGCCCGTAGATATATCTAGTGAATAGAATGTTCGTATAGATCGTTTCTACGTTCATAAACGGTCGTTTGGTTGAGTTTTGTGTTTGACATGTTTGAAGAACCAATAATCATAAACCATGAAATTGTTGTTAAAATTACGAATTAATGACTCTAAAATGATCTGTGAACATTGGAGAACATTTTTATATAATTAAATTGAAGTTTGGTGATTAAAAATGATAATGTTAAAACTGACCCGAGGAAGAAGATGATGAACAGTGGCCGAAAATCGATTATTTACTTACTAAAAATCGATTATTTACTTACTAAAAATCGATTATTTATGTTGTAAAAATCGATTATTATGAATTAATTGATTATTTATATTGTAAAAATCGATTATTATGAATTAATTGATTATTTAAATTGTAAAAATCGATTATTATGAATTAATTGATTATTTATATTGTAAAAATCGATTATTATGAATTAATTGATTATTTAAATTGTAAAAATCGATTATTATGAATTAATTGATTATTTATATTGTAAAAATTGATTCTTATGAATTAATTGATTATTTAAATTGTAAAAATCGATTATTATGAATTAATTGATTATTTAAATTGTAAAAATCGATTATTATGAATTAATGGATTATTTAAATTGTAAAAATCGATTTTTTATGAATTAATCGATTATTTATATTGTAAAAATTGATTAAAATGAATTAATTGATTATTTAAATTGTAAAAATTGATTATAATGAATTAATTGATTATTTAAATTGTAAAAATCGATTATTATGAATTAATGGAATATTTAAAATTATATAAATCAATTTTTATAAATTAAATGATTATTTTAAATTATTTTCCTCAATTCGAGATCCTGCTACGAAAATGTTCCTAAAAATATGCTCTAAAATCCTATTTTTGATAACAATTAATTATGAACAATACAAATATGATTTTGTATAATAAAAATGATGTTTTAGGCATATAAAACATTATGTGATGCATGACGGTAAGTTAGAGTGTTAACACTCAAAACTAGACCGCTATTTGTTATCAATTGTTATGTTCATTAATGATTATGATGAATGATTATGGATGATCATGAATAATGAACTAACTGATCAAAATGATTATTGATAATTCAGCCATGAGAGTAATGAATATATTGATAATTATTAAACGATTTGTATTGTTAAACGATATCTAGAAGAACTCTAAGATATACTTATTAGTTAATTGATGTTAAGGCTATCTAGAAGACCTCTAGAATAGATCTTGTATTAGAACATGTTTATGAAAACATGAACATTTGATGAATTAGATAAAAACGCATAAATGAGATTCATAGACCAAACTAGAGGATCACTCGTTTGGGAATGCCTGATCTAATGTTGATCAATTGCTATATATTTGTTGCCTTAACTGAATACAGTCAAGTGTCCGAATCATTTGCCTTAAACTAGTGATAGTTTAAGTGTCTGATTGCCTCAACTGACTACAGTTAAGTGTCCGAAATCAATTGCCTTAAACTAATGATAGTTTAAGTATCTGATTAATAATTGCCTTAAAAGAATCTGGTTATGGAAATTATGATTTGGCCTTAGACTAAGAATAGCTAAGAGCATTGTTATAATCTGGCCTTAGATTAAGAATAATTTAAGAGCACTATTGAAATAGTATCTGAATTGAATAAAATGTATTGATATGAACTGAACAATACCAAAACTGTGAATGTCTGAAATGAACATTGTGTGCATGAT